AGGGCAGGGACACCCTCCACTAAACCAGGTTGCTCAAAGTTCCATCCAACTTGGCCTTAAACACTTCCAGGAGTGGGGCATCCACCACTTCTCTGGGCAATCTGCTCTAGTGCCTCACCATTGTCATAGTAAAGAATTTCTTCTTAATATCTAATCTGAACCTACTCTCCATTTGAAGCCATCCTCTCTTCTCCTATCACAACATGCTCTTGTAAAAAGTCCATCTCCAGCTTTCCTGTAGGCCCCCTTCAGGTGCTCAAAGGACACAATAAGGTCATGTCGGAGCCTTCTCCTCTCCAGGCAGAACAACACCAACTATCTCAGCCTTTCTTTGCAGGAGAGGTACTCCATCCCTCTAATCAACTTGCTGGTACTCCTCTAGACTTGGTCCAACAAACAGGTCCATGTCCTTCTTATGTTGAGGACCTCAGAGAAGGACACAGTACTCCAGGTTAGGTCTCACAAAAGTGGAGTAGAGGGGCAGAATCACTTCCCTTGACATGCTGGATGCACTTCATTTAATGCAGCCCATTACGATTGGCTTTCTGGGCTGCAGGCACACATTGCCAGATCATGTCCAGCACCTCATCTGCTAACATCCCAAGTCCTTCTCCCCAGGGCCGCTCTCAATCTGTTCATCCCTCAACCTGCTTTGATACCAGGAGTTGCCCCAACCTTGCACCTTGCACTTGGCCTTGTTAAACCTCCAAGGTGTCCATGGGCCCACTTCTTGGCCCTGTCCAGGTGCCTCTGGATGGCATCCTGTCCTTCAGGTGTGTCAACTGCACCACTAAACTTGATATCATCTGAAAATTTTCTGAGGAAAAAATAGAATGGTATCGTATATCTATATAGGTATAGAAATAATTTAATGTAATAAAATAATAAAATATAATCAGATGTATAAGAGGTGTTTGGGCGGTGGGGTTTTGAGATACTATCTGAAGTGCTTTGGAAATCTATAACTGGATAATCTGAATCCCTCATGAACAATGCTTGCCTGTGTCACTGAATTAACAGAGCTAGCAATCATGTTTTTTCTAGTTGGTGATTTAATGTATCCCTTACACAAATGGGCCCTATGTCCTAACCCAAGCAATGCAAGTCAGACCTCTCATTTCTAGAATATTGTCAATTCAAAATGAAGATGTCCAGGTGTTCTGTCTTTGCAAAATAAAAGAACATGGTAATAGAAAGAGACCGAGTAGAGGAGGAAATTTCAAATAATTTGATAAGATTAGTTGCACTTCCCTTCTATGATTAATTCTGCACTTTAAATGAAAAGAAGGTATTTTGTGGAAACTCTCAAAAGTACAACTGGTTTGCTCTTCTCTTGCAGCAAGGTGTGCATCACTGCTAGCAAAATGACGAGAAATAATTGTCTGCATATTCTTCAGTGCCCTGGCCACAGTAAAAATCTGTGAGAGCCACCAGGCAAACTCAGAGCACAAGATATAGTTCAGTGGCATGACAGATATGCCGTACACTCTGGTGATTTCCTACTTCATGGAAAACGCGAAGAGAAAACACTGGAATATTCATTGCAATGTTCTTACTCGTGAACTCCCAAGGCTTAGCAGCCTTCCCTGTACAGAATACAAGGAATTAAAAATAATTTAAGATCAGCTTTGTTTTCCCATTCTAAATTCAAGATTAGTAATAAAGGAGAATCAGACAAAGCCATAGGTACTTATCATAGCCTCTACACTCAAGTATCAAGGATCTCCTGGTGTTAGAGGATCAGTCAGGGAGAAAAAAGGTTTAGGTGTTCAATGTATTGTCATGAAATTGTAAATGAGTGACAGCTTTTCCAAGTAATTAACTCCAGACATTTCTGAATGCCAGTCTGTATCTTGCCTGGCGTAAGTCAGCAGTAGCTTATCACTGACTTCTGAATGATATCTCACAAATGTGAGATCAGCTGTAACTCAACAACCATCACACAATTTGATCAGTTGGCACAGTATATATTTTTGTGTCTTATTATACAGAATGTATTTCTTGAGTGCAGCCATTGTGATTTACCCTTGGGTCATAATTACAGACCATTTTTTCTCTATGCTTCACAGTTGAGAAAGTTCCAAAAATATACTGAATTCTTAATATCAAATCTAAATACAGCTTATTTATCTTTAAATTCACATTAAACCCAATTTTTTAAAAAAAATTATCTAGTCCTTTATTGCAGGTTTTTAGCATTTCTTGCAATATCGATCTTAAATGGTTGTTTCCCAGGATTAATAACTGCACACTCATTGGCTTTCTGTGTCAATTGTTAATGTAAAATCTTTATGGTTTCTACCTTACTTTCAACTATTTTGTTGGTGTTTTGTGGGAGTTTTTTTGTGTTGTTTTTTTTTTACTAAAAGAGTAGTCCTTTCACATTTTTTTGCCTTTTTACAATCTTGTCAAATTAACACAGGTCATAGAGACTCTGTACCATATTGCGATTCAAATGCCTTTTGCCACATACAAACCTCCTCAACAAAATCCTTTCTGTGCTGACTACCTAGATATTTTTATCACAGGCTTCACATTTCCAATGGTTCCTCTTTATACATCATGGCATTTAAACCTCTTTGGGTGTTTTTTTACTTATCACGTGGTCTGTCTTGAACAGCTGTTCAGGGTCTGCTACAGTGGCATGGAAATGTGAAGGGAAAGGTCATTATTTATACTGAAATTGGAGGTGAAAAATGTACATAAATTCACTGAGGTTTATGTCCAATGGTGTTAAATTTTATAAAACACCTTGAGGACAGCTGGTACCACACCAGCCTGTCAGCATTCATACTGTCTAGAAAAGACTATGAAGAAAAATATTTCAGAGTCAACCATGATTTATTCAGCTGTTGCTTAAATCTACCTTAAAAAAAAAAGAAAACTTTAATGAATTATCTCAGCTCTGACTGTGCCTACTTTTTAATCTACCAAAGCACCTCCAATAACTCTCAGAGGCTGAACAATCTCCATTGCCATTGAATGTTACAGACTCATCGCAAATCGAAGATGTGTCCTGTCTTTGGAGTCTTTGAGCAATCCAAACCAGGTTAGTGAAAAGGAAGACGGAAAGGTCCTATTTTCAGGAGTAAGGAATCAGAAGAGAAAAAAAACACTCGAAGTTTAATTCTTTATTCTTAACATTTCATCAGCCTCTTCAATAGGTTCTGGAGTCTCAGTGAAGAAGGGCAAAGTAAGGCACCTTCCCTGTCAAAGAACTGGACTAGCATGAGGATGCAAGGAAAAAGCCCAAAGCTAGTGTAAAGACTTGAAATTCCGGACCTCTACAAGGGCATTTGTAGGATATAAGGTAAGAAGGGACTTCTGCATTGGAGCAATACAACAGTGTTGTTGTGTATTCCTAAGTATACCAGAGTTTCTACATCGATATTCAAAAAATGAGTACTGGATATTAATGATGGGCAGGAGAGAACAGATTATTTTTGTCAGTTCCATTCCCATAAAAATGAAGGATGAGTGGATAAAAAGACACAAAGTGATGCTCAAGAGCAGTAGTGTTTCCTTGAGGAACATATGACACTGCATGAGAGCATTCATAAGTCAGAGGCGAGGAAATGGATGGCAAATTGTGACAAAAGCAGGTGAGTCCCCAGTTTCACTTTCTATGCTTGTTCCAGTTTTGATGCATGTATCTTAATGCACTGGGCTGACAACCACGATGGCCAACAGATTCACAAACTCAGCAAGGGCCTGTATCCAGCCTGATAAATATATGGTGTTTTCATTCAAACATCTATTCTGGTTTTTAAATGTTCTGAGTTTATTGACATCGGCTGTTGAATTTTTTTCTTTTTGTTGCTGATGTTCAGCAGTCCTAAAAACCAGGTCTAAGATTTTAGTCTTTTTTCTTCCTAACATCAATGAGACTTCTTAGGATAACAAAAAATTCTGTTAACATATATACACATCCATGTGTATAAATGTTTGCAATAGCAATGTCTAAATATGAAAATAAAGAGTGTTTATCAATTTGCTAGCTACTGACTTTTAGTGCCTTCTAGGATACCATGCCTGACCCACAGTGTGGCTCCACAAGAGCCTAATTTTCTTCTGGTCATATCTGACAGCTCTGTGTTGATATCTTGAGTATCCAAAGATGCTGTGTTGGCTTTGTTTGGAATAGATAGTTATAATATAACATTATAAATTATACAACACTATATAAGGTTATAATATAGTGTGGATAATACAAGGATTGTTTTTGTCATTGCTGAGCAGTGCTTTTTCTCAAAAGTCTGATTTATCTCCCTTAAGTAATAACTATCTTATTTCACCACTGATGAATTCCAATTTTAGTTCAGTACAGTCATCCATGGAATATCCAAAAAATGTTTTTATTTTGTTTTGTTAAACAAACAAACAGGAAAACAAAAAAAACAACAAAAAGTTTTTTTATAAATAAGTCACAGAAAAATTATTTTTATCTTCTTTCACATTTTTAAAGCTTCATTAAATATACCACCTTTCAGTTTTCTACCACATTCTGCTATATGAACAGCACTCACACTCTGGCAGGAGCTAGATTAGCATTGTTTCGGATCCTTTCAGATTACCTTTAAACATCAGCATGTGCAGCCTTTGTGCCTTGACGTTTCATACCAGTTCATGCCTAATGATTTTTTACTGCCTCAGGCTTCAAATCTTCCCATGCTGATAAATAATGCATTTCTTTTCATTTCATATTTTGGGTGCTGTAGTTGATCACAAACCTCTTTGTAATAGAATTAGGTCTCTCTCCATGGGCACAATTTCCATTGCAGAGATAAGTGAGATGATGTCAGGCTACAGGCAATTAAAGGACGATGCACACTCCTCTAGATAGAGGAGCAGTATCAAAACAGAAGCTAAGTAAGACTTTGACTATGTAATGAGCTTTCCAAAGCTGGACTTTCCTCAGCCTTGGCTGCATGATATTGCTTTGGACATTGGGTTTTTTTGGGTGTAAGGATGTGTTCTGTTGTCAGATCCTAAACAAGTAAGGGCCTTGTAGGTGATACATTTAAGCACACACACCAAATCAGAGTGAACTCCAAGAGTAAGATGGTCTCTATAACCTTTGTGTTTATCTAAAGCCTCTAAAACAACATGAAAGCCGTACCCATTGCCTGATACCACAAAAGAACCTTTCTGTAAAAAAGCAGATTTAGAATTGTAGCTGGTTGATTCAATTCCAAACATGTCATCCAAAGCTTGCAAACATTTATGCATGTCTTAATGAAAGTGCTGATAACTCCATGTTTCAGAGTATCAAATAATTGTACAACTGAAATATATCCAGGCTACACAATTAATCATAATAATAGCACAAAATATGCTAAAGGTGAACCAGTCGAAAGATGCATCCTTACTCTGATTGTCACAGGGAAGAGAAAGCACTGATTTACTTCATTCTCCCTGTTCTCTCTGTATGAGCAGGAAAAATAATTGCTACTGAAGCTGTACTCCCTCTTTAAATGGACTTACTGTTTGGTTTTCTGAAAGAAAGAGAAAAGACAAAGAAACCTACCTGCCTTTCAAGCTTTGCATAATCACCATTACTATTTCTATTTTTTTTTTGTATCAAGATTACAATGACTCATGCTTTCTACTTGACTCTAATATCACTTTACATCTCCTTATCTTTCTTATAATACTTTACATGATGTATAAAGAGCTGTGTCCTAAAAAGTTGTGGGCTGCCTTGGTTCAATATACTGGATTTTTCAAATAGGGAAGACTAATGAGTTTTTTCCACTCACCTTGTTACACACTGAAAAATAGAATGTGAAAGAAGCTTAAACAACTCCAGTCTCTGGTAGAGTGAGTCAGTGAGTATAAAATTCTTGGTATCACTCCATACAACGGATATAGCTTTCTAAAATGAAAGGCATTACTGCTAGCTTTTGAATGGCTATTTCAGAAAATGCTGTCAAGTTGTCAACTGGACATCCAAAATAAACCTGAAAGAAATAGTGTATTTGTAGGTCAGAAGTTCTGCTCCCACCTCCTCAGGAGGTGACAAAGCTCCAGGTCCAAATTTGTACATGTACATTGAGTTTAGACAGAATCTTAACACTCAATTTGAATTTGCAGTGCTTAAAACCCTCATACATCTGTTTCACTACCCTGTGGCACCACCATAGCTAAAGTTCCCAGGCACTCCTAGATCTGTACCATTTTATATCAGAAGTGCAGACACCTTGGCACTTTTTCAACCGCTTGGTCCCACCAAGAATGGAGGTGTTCTTCACAATATTTCCCTAGGGCTCATGTTGAAGACAGCACTCTTGAACAACATCTCATGAGGCAAGTACAATATACAGCAGCATCTTTCTTTCATTGCAGCACTTCATATACTGACAGGAAGGCCATAAGGAATATTGGCATCCAACCCCATTCTCAGTTTCAAGGTGACTCTCACTGCCAAGGAGATAGCTTAATGGTGCATTTATCTGAGAGTTTGTGGAGTGAGAAATTCTTCCTTCCAAATATTTCTTCTAATATACAGCATATATCAGACCATCACTAAATAAAATATTTGACTGTTGCAGTCCCAAGAAGTTTCACGTGACAGAGGTTTGAGGTGATTGGCATTTGCCCCAATTTGGAATAATCCATAGACCAGTACTTTTGGCATTTTCATGGGAGATGGGGCTCAGTCAGGCTTCAAGGGTAGCTGAGCAAAGTGAACCCCAGAATCCAACTGTCTGAAAAAGGAATTAAGGGGGACTCCTATTCTCTTCTCCTATGCATGAAAACAGGACTGTCCCTCTCCTTCATGTATTCTGGATTTTGGTTTTTGGGGTTGGATGGGGTTTTTTTGAATGAACAGGTTCAGGCCTACAAGTGGTCTGAAGAGTGCATGTACATCTAAGGTTGAATAGCTCCCCAGGGTAGCTGCTCGTTCATTTAATATGCCCTTCCTGAGGCTTTCTGGATTTCCTGCAGGACTTTGTCCCTGGATTGCTTTGGCAGGGAGAGAGTGGTGAAGCAAGACGGTCCATTTCACTGAGGGAGCCTAGGCTCCCTCCAGTCACATCCAGCAGCATAGGATAGGGTGGTAGCAGCGCTGATGCCTTAAGGTCCTTTTAGTTTTCTGATTTTTCTAATTTTTCTAACTTTTATAAGTAGTTATACAGTAGAAGTAGATTTAGAAGCAGCAGCACTTATTCCCTTACCCTTAGCACAGAAACTACACACATTCTCCCACCCCTATTACCCCATTCCATGCTCCCCTTATCAATTCTACCCCTGGATTCCATTAGAATATGTTTAGTCTCACTCTTAGATAGGCCTGTTCTGTTTGAAGAATGCTTGTATCTTGACCCTAACCGCAGAACATGGTCAGGAACTAGGTCACCCTGTACCCCTTGTACTCTGAAGAAGATGATGGTTGATGAAGAGAGGTTCCTGAAAAGCCCCTAGCCCCAACTTCCCAGGGGCATGTCAGGGGTGGTCCAGGGCAAAATCAGTGGGTGGACAAAACCTGGATTGGACAACCACTATTATAAATTGTAAGCATCTGTACACAGGGGGTGCGCACGTCTTGTAATTTTTATACCTAGGCACAAATTAAAACCCTTTCCTTATCTCACCTCCAAAACTAATTTGCCTCGGAGTTTTCTTCTCCCCAAATTTTCTCTAGGCAACACGCTTTCACCATGTTGTTGATGTAGCTCAGAAAGCTGTTCAGCATCACATCCCCAGTGAGAGAAAGGCCACCTGCAGCTTCTGAAATGCAAAATATTAAGCCTTGATTTTGCAGGCTTAAGCACAGATGCCCTGCATCTGTCCACTCACAATAAACAGGCCCCTGAGAGAGAGGGGCCTCAGGATGAAACAGGATGATTGAACATGCAGTTTGATATTTTATTTCATCTATAACTGTTTCTATGAACAATTGTATGAAACTGATGGTGACATTTGTTTCAAAAGGATTATCAACGTAATTATACTGAATAGAGAATTAATTAATCACAGATATTTGTCAAAAAAAAGTAATTGAAATTCTATTACTTCATTATCAGCATCATGAAGAGATTGTGTTTGCAAACAATCAAGCATTTGGGATCACTCCAGTGTCAAGAAACTAAACATAAAACCAGAAAGTAGTTGATTTTTAAAATGAGTGATTCTGTCTGTTTGATGGGTGCCACATACTATTTTTCAGCAGTTGAGTATTTATTTGTGTCTTTTAGATGATAACTGTTAAAAGTCAAAGATCTCAGATAGCAAAGCAAAATTACTTACCTACGCTAAGAAAGTAATTTGAATAGATATAGATAGGGTAAAACTAGTAATTTCTTCCATGAGTTTTCATCACTAGATTTCAGGTTATTACAGAGATCAGTATCACCCCTGTTTATTGGTGGCAAAAGTGACAAGAGAAGTGAAATGATGTTGCCTTAGTTAACAAAGTCAAGATCTGAAATCAGAACTTCTGAGTTCACTGCTCTGTCATCTAAGTAACCTGAATTCATTAAGCTAGTCTTGACTTTAATGCTATTTTCAGAATTAAGGGGTAAATTTAACTCACTCACTACTGAAGCAAAAAGTATTCCTTAATCACAGCATACAGTACCATAAGCATAGAAACGAGTATCTCATGAACATGTTGCTTGGCTGTTGGCAGAACTAAGTACCTGCAGTCAGAAATGAGGCAAAATCAGCCGGGTAATTTGTTCTTTTTCTGTCTGGATGCAGACACAGTTACCATCTGCTGCTACATCTCTGCTGGAATCATAATACCACATGTACTTAAAGCATAATCAGTCAGCAAGTCCTACAACTCAAGGTCAGGAGTTCCTTCATCTGCTGAATGGCAAAGGCCAAACTGAGGCTGTTGAACAGCGTTCCCTGAATATCCAATTGAAACTCTTCTCCAAATATCAAGGTTTCAGCAGTATCTTATAATTTTCACATAGCAGTAAAATTTGCTTTATTTTTCCGGTCCCTCAGACACATGGAAAATCAGTGAAAACTTAAACAGAAAATAACTGCTGGAGCTCCTCTACTAGGAGTCTCTGGCTAAGTGTGACCACTCATGTTAGTCATAGGGCTGTTGGCTGTTTTCTTTTTTTTTTGCAATCTATAGTGACTGTGATGGCAGCAAAGATTTATAGTTTATATATCTTTTTGGTTCAGCTGCTATATTGAGGTGTAATTCAGGTAGTGGACAGGATGATAAACCTCCAAGAATGGAGGATAAAATATATTAAATTTTAGACCTGGTTCAATTTTCTTTTAAGACTTAGAGTAACCAGCTTCTAGTACTGACAGGGTCCACAGGATTCAAACCTAAGTTTACATATATATATATGTGTGTGTAGGCATGCATTCTATATAAGCTATGAAATCTGCAGAAAGAAAAAGCACCGCTACATCATTAAGAGGAATTTTGTTCATTTCTTCCCGAGATATATTTGGATTTTTATGTATATATTTTCTCCTAAGACTTTTGCCAAGATTTCTGGAGCTTTTTGGATGCATGGCCTTCTGGATGACTTTGACCAAAATTTTCTTTTTTTTGTTTCTGTGTTTCCCATTTAAAAATAGGGGAAATAACACTGTCCTTGTTTGTAAAGCGTATGTGTGTGTACATCTGCTAAGGCAGAAAATATTTGTATCACTGGGATAAACAATTTCCCAACTCATAACTTTTCTAACTCTGGGTAATACAGCCATTTCTGCCTCACATTGGCAGAAGCATATCACATTGTGCTAACAATACTGCACACATGTATTCACATGCCTGCACAGAAGTCTGCAGGAAGAGATTATGACAATTGTGCGCCTAAGCAGGAAAAGCTGGAACAAATCCTGTATGATGCCCATGCAAGCATTCAGGCAGAAACAGAGCACAGGCAACAATCCTGGGGATTTCATGCTCCATTTCAGCAGTTCCTGGTAGGAGAGATCTCAGACATCCTGGGTTGATGTCAGAGCTGGCTCTCTCTGAGGTGTTGCAGCTGCTACAGCACCCGTAGCTGAGCACCACCCTGGAGGAGCGCCTGGCCAGCTGGACCAGCAATGTGGACAGCAGGTCCAGCAGCTGGTGTGGCATGTCTCAGAGCAAGACTTGCAGTTCAGGGAAGACTGGCAAATTATGGCTGTCAGCGTGATGTTTGCTACTGCAGCGATGTGCTGAATACTTACCAGTCCTTAATTCCTTGTGCAACCTCTCTGCTGACTCTCACTTGTTCCCGCTCTGGTTCTTGACATAATATTTGATGCAGGTTGTCCCCTCTCCTTATGCTCTTTTTGCCCCTTTTCTCATTTGAGCATGGGTAGGGATTAACCCTTGACTGAGTTTCCCAGGTTGCTTCAGTATCATTTTCACTTTCACATTTTCATGACAACTGTAGGTCATTGTAGCCTGGTGGTGAAAAGGATTTTTTAATACATTTTACCATTACACAGTTCCATCAGAAAACATAAATACGCACTGCAGAAGTTAATGTGAGGAAAGGATGAGGTGGAGGCCTAGTATAAATTATAGTGTTAGAGTACATATTATTGAAGTGTTTCACATTTGGTTAAGCCTTTCCTTTGAATTTTTATTTTTGCATTTCAATTTCAAGCCATGGAAAATTATTTTTATAATATATTCAAAAGCAAATAATTGAAGAAATAAGCTTTGGAGGTCAGGTCAGTGCAATGAAGGCAAGAAAAAGTGGTCTTTTTGTATTTCAAACTTTTCCCTGAAAATGGATCATTTCCCATTCAACAGGATTCCATTTTTAGAGCTTGCATTTTTTAGAAAATAAAATCCCACTTCTTAAAAAAATATATTCCAAAATGCATTCCAAAACTGAGTGATCACAATAGTGATAAAAATGAAGGGGGGAATGTTGCATATAATACAGGCCAAAGTTAACTACCCCCTCATTAGAATCTGAACAAAGTTTCTTGTGGATATGCTGTGGTTACTCTGTGGTTATTGTTATCACTGCAATCCAACATCCCTATTTAACTCCATCTACCTGCTCTGCTGAATGGTCAGTGCTGGTGATGTCTGTTATACAGATAAACTTGAACTACAAAGACCAATGTTATTTTTGGAGGAGATTTTGAATCTGCATTTGCAGAAACTCAAAGGCTCTCCTTGTATGCCTCTTTCCCTAAACCTACAAAGGGTCATTAAAAATTTTATTTCATGCACTTTTTTTTTTAAAATACATGTTTATGTACTCTTTTTGTTCAATTTTAGTGTTATTGGTACTGGGTTTTGTACTGTGGGATATCTATTTTAGAAAATCATTGGGAAGACACTGCTGCCATCAGGAATGGGTGTGAGATATGGTTTTCTAGGCAAGACTCAGCTCTCTGATGGGTCCCCAACATCAGTCTTCAGTTCCTGTGGTTTGGCTGTTTCTCAAATAACTCCCCTGAGCCACTTGTGAAATCCAGTCATTCCCCCACCACCCTGGCCTCAACATTTTCTGGCTCCTCACACTGCTCCCTGCTATATCTGGCAGCTTCTCCCATCATGTTGGGTAGTTTTTTCATGTCCTGCTTACTTAGCTCAGCGTCTGGTGGGGGCCCACAGCTCCCACACCCCATCTTTGTGGGCGCATTATCCATACTATGAGACGCTGCAGTGGCCTGGCTCGCCTTGCCAGCTGCCATTTATTCCCATGCTCACCAGCCACCTGAGGGATTCAAACACTGGTTAGCACATCAGTAAAAGTTGTTTTCTGCAGGCAACTCTTCCAAACTTGTCATTGGAAAACCAATGACGCCCAAATTCCCAGATATGTAGAAACAGGACAAGCAGGACCAGAGGTGTACTAAATCTTTCTTCTCACCATTCACTGCTTATTTTGCTTTTCTGCTTAATTCAGTATTTATTCTTCTTTATTCAGAAGGAAATATTGTCTTATGTTCTATATCATCAGTCTTGAAATCATTCCAGACAGTCCAGCTAGTGGCACTGGAACATCTCTAGGGATATTTCTCTGAAGGTCAGTTAGGGTTGCCCTGATAAAATTAGGGGCCTTTTCCTTCTCCAAACTTAGCAAACGACAAAAAAAAGGTTTCTATTTATTTCTACTCTTGTTATTCCCCATTGGTTTTTCACACCTTATTAAATTGTTTCTAAAGATTTATTTTGCTTTGTGAGCAGTCACAAAGTTGCAAATTCTAAAAGCTGCTATTCAGAAACCTCTGCTCTTTAGCTTCCTTTAGCTTTTTTTCTTTAACTTGTGGGTTTATTCACACCTTTAAAGAGTTTCAAAAGGAAACTTGACCCCATGCCATGCTCTAAAACTTGAGACAGCCATAGCTGATTTTGTATTAATGCAGTTATTTTCTTTCCTCTTAAAATCTGAGCTTCTTTCTGGAAAAAATGAAGCACCTACCCTGTGAAAGAAAGATTTTCCAAAAAATGAACATTTGCTTGATATATGATTCTTTTCTTTTTAATGTATACTTTGAAGGATTATTTGTAAAGTCACTGTATACCTCCAAGGTAGCCTTTATTAAATGGGGTAGAATATTTTAGTTTTCAAACTCTATTCTTTGATGTATCAGTGACATTTAGGCTTTGCTAATACATGCGATATTCTAGGTCTGTAATTTAGAAAATTATCTGCTATTCTAGATATAAATAGGGATCTTTTTACCCATCTCTAACTTCTTACATAGCTATCTTTATTTTTCTCCCATGTATAGCACAGTCATTGCTAGACAAAGAAAAGTTACTTTGACTATTTTATACTGAGAATTAAAAAACAAAAAAAGCTTTTAGTTAGGCCAAGGTGGCATTTTCCCTCATTTTCTCGTATTAGAAAGTTAAGTGCTTGGCTCTTCCAAGGTAGATATTTTTCCCCCAGAAACACTTACATGTCACAGAATTATAGAATCATTTAGGTCAAAAAAGACCTCTAAGACCATTGAGTTCAACTGTTAACCCAGCACTGCCAAGACCACAACTAAACTCATGTCCCTAAATGCCATGTTAATATGCCTTTTAAATACCTTCAGGGATGGTGACTCCACTGCTTCCCTGGGCAGCCTGTTCCAGTGCTTAACTACCCTTTTCATGAAGAAATTTTTCCTAATATATAATCTAAACCTCCCCTGGTACAGCTTGAGGCCATTTACTCTTGCCCTGTCACTTGTTACTTCGGAGAAGAGACCAACCCCAGCCTGGCTACAGCCTCCTTTCAGGTAGTTGGAGAGAGTGATAAGGTCCCCCCTGAGCCTCCTTTTCTCCTGGCTAAACACCCCAAGCTCCTTCAGCCGCTCCTCGCAAGACTTGTGCTCCAGAGCCTTCACCAGCTTTGT